TGGGTGGGAACCACTGTCCTAGCCATTCTCATGAAGGATGATGTGATCTGCGCATGCTTCATACTCTGAGACCGAGCCATGAGCATGCTGTTTTAATGAAGGAGATTGTGTCATGAGAGCAAATGTTTCCTAAGTTTTTTTAAGCAGCACAATGAAAACAAAAACCCCAGCAGACCCAGATTTCATCCCTTGGAATTGAGAATAAAGTCTATTTTCTTTTTCTGATGACAGCTACTCATTATCTGGAAAGAAGCTTGGGTTTTGTTTTGGTTTTTTTTCTGTATACAATATATTGTTGTATTTTTTCATGTGAAACTGATGAATTATTTTCTGATGATTCCACTGCTCTGGCTGCCTGGATATGAACTCAATTGTCTATTGCATAAACATACTGTTATGAATCTGAATGTTACTTTAAGGGTTAATTATCAGGATTCAATTAATGAGAAAGGCTTCAGCTCAGATAACTTTAACTTAGACTGGATACTTGCTTTTTAAATGACTTCTCATCTAGATCTTTCTGTAGTTAATAATAGGAGACAAGTTTTCCCAACTGTAAAGTCATCCCAAAGTGAAATGGAGCTGAACTGCACTGTAGGTTGCTTAGAGAAGGAGATCAAGAGATTAATCTTAGACAGGACATTTAACATTTTAAATAGTTTAAGACAGATCAGATGAGCAACCTAGGATGCTCAAGCAACAGTCTTGGGACAACAGTTTGTTCCTAAACTAACACTTATCAACAAGGAAAGCTGAGAAATCCCCTAGAAAGAGAATTTGGGAATGCTTTTGGTTGATATTATCTACCTTAAACACCTCCCCTCCAAAAACAACCATAAATGAGTGTGCCTACATAAGCAGTGGAAAATATCACTGGAAGTAAGTAGTTTTTTGTGCTGAATGCAGAGGAATATATTGATCTGTTTTGATCTGTGAGTAGGGTATAAAATCTTGATCACTCCTATTCCTGTATAGCTTCATGGCAGAGATTTCTGTCCTACACTGAAAAAAAATAAAATCCTCAAGATTGGTGTTTTGGATAATTTGCATCATCCATTACCCTTTTCCTGCTGGTCTGATCCCTATAGATCCTTGCAATGCACTTTATGCTTTCTTGTCTTTTGGTAAGGAAGGCAGTTATTACAGGAGTTTTAAGGGGCAAAATTTGGGAGATCTGGGTATGTATTTTGAAGGACTAAGCAAGTTTCTGGAGAGAAAGTCAGAGGCCATATGTAATAACAACTATCTTCTAACATAGTATTAAACTGCTTTTTATAAGCAATAACAATCTTCTGTCACACCTATTTTTTTGCTTCTTCATCTTTCAAGTTGTCTTCCTTAAATATATTCTTCCCTTGAGAACTTCTCTGTGTTGTTTAGGGTTACTACACCAAATCTTGTGACATATAATGCATTGCTCTAAGCCAGTGTGTACTATGTGACCACCTCTTGCCTTTGAGGAAATCATCTAAGGTTCACTGCTAGATTTCATCCTTCTTGTCCTGGAGGTTCTCTCCAGAAGCTCTTCATTCAAGATGTTCAATCTTGAAATCCTGCAGAATGGGTGGACTATAGTCTTCCCTTTCATTTGAGAGTCATTAGTGACCAGTTGAATACCCCCACTAGGAAAAAGTGATCTCCATAAGAAGCCTGTTATACAGACAACTTTTTCAGACCTAAAGAAAACTCTCTTCATTTTATTATCACTGACTGGATCTACTCATTCTAAAACGGCTTCAGTTTCTTCCTTCTTGTAGCTTATTTCACCACCGTGCCAAGTATGCTCTAACTTTCTTTTCTTCACATTGAAGACTTCACAAGCTCAGACTCACTAACATCTTCACACCCATCAGTTTATACTGCCTGGCTGACACTGTCATCATTCAGCTAGACTTTTGGTGCATTTCTTTGCATTGAAATCCTTTTCAGTGATTCCATGATTCCACTTTTCTTGACCATCCTTCTTGAAACTAATTCCTCTTTCAAACTTTGATTTTATTACTAATGAGACATAATAATTTATTTTCCTTACTTATTTTCCCAAAATAAAACCACACACGAGTCAATCAGTCAACATTCACTTCCTCACCTTTATTTTTCATGCACTTTCAAAACTTGCTCATTAGCTGTGGTCTTCTCCTGTGTGTATTTTTTCCTGTATATGGTAGCTGAGTATTTGAAGAATCCAGATTTCACAGCAATGCCACAGAGTTAAGACATCTGTCTTGTAAAGCACTACTGCTCTCAAACCTGGCCTCTGATATAGAGAGGTGAAAGTGATGCAGAAAAGAGGCCACAGGTTTCTCCCTATCTTGTTAGAGCACAAATCACTTGGTGGAACTCTGCACTCACCACCAGTTCAGCCTTCAGAGCATCTTGGTGTATCAATCAGATCAAGATCCCAACCCAAAAGCAAACACCATGGAAACTATTTTTTAAGCAAGTTCTTAAGAATCAACATGAGACTGCACTACACATTCTGTAGTGATTAATTTGCTGCAGATGTCAACAGGTAACATCTCCTATTTTTATACAAAGAAGGAAGTAAACCCTGATTTTTGCTCCCTACATTTGTCTGCACTTCCTATATCTTCCCCCCATGCCATGAATTCCTCAGGAAATGACTTTAGGGGAAAGTCTAAGTAATAACACCATCTGCTGAGGCTGTTCTAATTCTTCAAATCCATGCTTATATCTTCTGGCAATATACCAGGACCAGTTGTGTTTCCATGCTTATGCAAGTCCTTCTTAGTTGATACTTCCATACTTGCACACACATATGCACTTCATACATGCAATGACAGGGTAAGTGTCTACGTTTACTAGGCTGCAGAAATTGCATTCACAAGTATTGTCATGTTGTCAACAAGAAAATTCAGAAGGCCTTAAAAAATCTCTTCCACAAAGGTGCTTCCATCTTTTATGATAAGGAAGCCCATATTTCATTACCTGCTGTGTCAAGGAAACATTAATCAGAAACAGTTAGTAGAGGGCCCCAGAGCAGGAATTTTGCATGCTGTCAATTGCAGTATTCCTACCAGAGGCAGCACTCTTATGAAACCTGTGACGTGTCTTTGATGTCAACTTCATCATTCTAAAAGGAATGTCCTAAGAAATTCCATTGTGGTGCGATACTGCAACAGACAGAACTCTGAGGTATTAACAGGCGCTTCTTTCAAAGAGGTGCACCAATGACACCAGAGATTATAGAACTAAAAATAATCCACCTAACCAAGATAACTCCTTAAACAGAGGATAAGTAGTTCTGTGGGTGAGACCCTTCGTTGCAGGGTCTGCACACAAGTCTCCATCTATCTTTGCACGCTGTGTCCTTGCACAGTGGACCCTCCCTACGCTTGCCTCTCCTGCCAGCAAGTTTAGTGGCTTCAGCTGAGTATGCTGCACAAGTACCTCTGCATACCTCTGCAATCCCTTTCCTCTGGTCACCACCACTCTTCATCCTTCAGCTCTGCTCCCCTCTGTGGCTCTCAGAAACCTGCTAGCTGTGGTGGCTTCTTCCTTCCCACCCTTCAACCTGCTTGACACATATCCCTCACAGAGCTTCCCCTTGAGCATGTGTGCTCAATTTACCTCTCCCCACAGCTGTGCCACATTGCAATGTCCAGGAATGGGTTAAAAGGCAGGCTTTCTTCCCATGGCACAGCCCCAAGTTTTTTAACAAATGTGCAATTAACAAATACTTAAGCAGCAAAGTGAACAAGCAAATATAATATTTATACCATCTATCACTTGCAAAGTCTTCAGACCATGTATAAGCTGATTGACTTCATAGCGTATTCCTTTTGTGTTGCTCTTTTCTTTGGCATTAGTCATTGCCTTTAAGCCTGTTACAGTCACCAGGTTGTCAGAAGGGTTATTGATGCTGGAAGATGTGGCAGGTAGATGAAATTCTATCTATATATTGTCATCGAAGGAAAAATATCTTTGATCAGTGTATCTGTAAGAGGACAGTGCAAGGAAGCATCAGAGGAACAAAATGTGTCAGTTTACTACAATTCGTATAGGTCACCGCAATTTCTATGTAGTGAGAGATGACTGAAAGTGAATGGTGAAGAGAACTGGGTAGTCTGCCCTACTACGTACCTAGTTATTGCTTGGCAATGTATTTCCAGTGTTTTGCTAATAATTCATTTAGTTCACAGCACATCTGACTTTATTTTACTCCTGGCTATGCACAACTCTCCTATGAAGACAGGCTGAATACAGCTGGGGTTGTTGAGCCTGGAGAAGAGGAGGCTCTGGGAAGACCTTAGGGGCCTGCGAGAAAGCTGGAAAGGAACTTTTTACAAGGACGTATAGGGATAGGACAAGGCAGAATGGTTTTCTTTAAACTGAAAGAGGGTAGATTTAGATTAGATACTAGAAAGAAATTCTTTAATCTAAGAGTGATGAGGTGCTGGAACAGGTTGCCCAGAGAAGCTGTGGCTGTCCCATCCCAGGCAGTGTTCAAAGCCAGGTTGGACGGGGTTTTGATCAGCCTGGTCTAGTGGAAGGTGTCCGTGCCCATGGCAAGGGGTTGGAGCTGGATGAACTTTAAGGTCCCTTCCAACCCAACCCATTCTATGAGTTACTAATTTATTAGCCTCCCATAGACTCAGTACTTAAAGAAAGCACTGAACAGAGAAGGCCAAGCATCCTTATAATTAGACAATGTAACTGCCTAAGTAGTGGTGTTTCTCAATAACAAATCTAATGTGCAGACATGCTACAGGAGCTGAAGCACTGTGATACATTACATGGAGAGGATAGCAAAGACCCTCTGGTAACATTTTCAACATTGGTACAAAAAATGCTCAAAAAAAGCGGTTAATTATCTGTGGAGCTTACTGTTGCTTACAAAGACATTGATGTGTTATGGTAGCCCCAGCAGTGTCCTTGTGTATGAAACATTTATTTAGCCCATTATAAGCTTAAAGCATCATGAAAACAAGTTAAAAGTGTACAAAGGAGGAAAATGATTACTTTTGCTTATTTTGTAGCCAAAAGCTGGGTCTCTTGGATCGGGTTCGTGGTACCAATACTAAAGGAAAGCTATTTACCCCTCTGAATGTAGATGCCATTGAAGAAAGTCCTTCAAAAGAGCCTAAGAATGTTGTCTTGAATAATAAGGAGCGTTTTCGCACTGCATTCCGAATGAAAGCGTACGCTTTTTGGCAAAGCTCAGAAGGTAGCCCATCTGTGTCGATTTCTTTCTACCCATCCCCTACTCTCCCCATTTTACTTTGTTCCTCTGCATCTTCTGCTGAAGGTTTGTGACTTTCTGGGCCAAGCATGGCTGGCACCTGGTTTTACATGGCACTTCTGGGGAAGGCCCAGGAAATGAATGCTGGAGTCCAGGCAACATGATGCTTGGAATAAGACAATGGCCCTCCATAAAAAGAGCAATTGATAACAGATAAAGCCAGTGATGAAATCAACATATTTGACCTGGAAAAAGAGGGCTCACTGGGAAGTGAATCTGTATCTCAAAAAAAGGCACATGCCATTGTGGCTTGGTTTATCAGCAAGGATGCTATGCTAAGGTAGCTCCCTCCTAGACTGCGTCCAGCCCTGTATTTGCCTGGGTCCAGACATCTCAAATATACCCTCACAGCAATCTCTTAAAACCTTGCTTTATAGAGTCAACGGCTGCTTCCTCCCACTCTCCCTATGACTGCTGCCCCTCAGCAGATTTCCCGTGGGTGTCCATGAAACACTATAGGGAATTTTTCCTCTCAGCTTCCTTGAGCACACATTTTCCTCTTCTTACTTATAGCATAGAAATGGTCTCCCAGTAAGTTTCTCCTTTATTGTGCCAGTCCATCAGTGCATACTGGGCATACTACCATGGATGTAGTCTGGGTGTCTACACTGGAAAATTGATTATTCTCTTCCATGAAGGTGCATGAGCTCCGAGCAGTGCAAGTGGGAGGAGGACTTGGCCTGTAGCTTGTACATCTGTTTTAGCCTTATGTAAAATAATTTTGGCAAAGATTTCTTTATCTAAAATCTTATAAAAGTGGGAACTTCTAAATGCATTGGAAAGGAAGAAAAGTTCCCAATGTTTCCAAAATGCTGGAATCTGAGAGGAGATCCCTCAAACAATGTCTTACAGCTGTCCCAGCAGAATTATTACAACCTTTTCAGGAGCTGAACCTCAAGAAAGAGGAACTTGCAAGAGATGTTTCTTTGCTAAATTGCACTTACTTTATATAGTGCTTTAGTGAGCCAGACCTCCCTCTAAATGCTGCATGGTCAGATGTTCACAGAGCTGTTTTTCGACCTGCTTTGCAGATGCAGGAACAGGGGAACCCATGGCAGAAGAGAGAGGCGATGGTAGCGACTTCCTTATGGAAGATATGATTCCCACATTCAAGACAGCCATCCGAGCTGTCAGGTAAACATCTCTGATGCTTTGCTTTGAGTTTGTGTTTTTATCCTTCAGGACACCACATTACCATGTTGCTACATGTCTATTTATTGTTACTGTTCTTGCTTCTATAAAATACAATAGATTAGATAATTTTAGATATACTGAAAAGCACAAGACAGACCCTTTTTAAAGTCCTCTTTGAAAATATGCAGAGAGGGAAATATGTTTCAGTAACATTGACCATGCCATTTTTGCAAGATACTCCATAAATATTTTTATTATAAAATAAAATTCTATACAGTTCCTCATTAAAATATGCTGTACATACAGTATCTTGCTCAATTTAGTGACTGTCATATTTATGTAAAACTGGAATTTTAGCTTAACAATAAACTCTGAGCTGACTCAACTCTTCTTTATTCACAGTTGTACGAGTGTGCAATATAGTTTTCAGCTGTCATCTTTTAATAGATGCTGAGGTCTCCATTTCAGCAGTCTTCAGCTTGTGACATGCGTCACCTCTATTTTCATATCACAGAAGATATTCGCTATGGTTAGAAAACTCCTAGTAAGGCTTGATAACGTGTTTAGCACATCAAGCACATACAGTTCATTCACTGATGCTCTGTTACTTCTCAGTATTTTTTTTACTTTCTTCCTTTGAAAACACCCCCATAGGAAAATACTCTGCTTTCATTGCACTTGCTTTTTATTCCAGAAGTTGAGTTTTGGGCCAGGAAGTTACTACCTTCCAGGTGAGATACTGCAAGTCTTCTTAGAAAAACTTTAAGGAAGATGGTTATAAGTATATATATATAACCATATATTTATATGCATATAGCCATAGTATATATTCTCCTAGTTCTTTTCCAGTTGGGTGCAGAAGAACCAATTATTAAGAATTCCAAGTTTTCTCATGCCTGCTGAAATCCAGGCTTTGCTCATGTTACCCATGACTGCTTCCCCCCCAGTGGAAGTCCCTTTATCCCTCCTTCCTCCATAGTTTTCCCTTTCTTTCCCTGGTACCTGCTTGCTTTAAAACATGGACTATACATCTGTCCTGTTTTCGAGCCCCATCTCTATGAGACATGCTATTATTGCTCTTGTAAAACTTCCTTTCCCACATCCTGTCCAAATCTAATTGATTCACAGTTTCCCTTTAAACTTACTTATAAACCAAGCTGTTTGCTGTTTGGTTGATTGATTTTGGTTTTTAATGTTTGTATTTTCTTGTACAGTTTACTCAGCCCCTGAATGCTAATGGGGAGTAATTCTTACAGATAAAACCACTTAATGGGTATTCAGGATCATGATTTAAATTGAAATCGATAATAGTGTGATTCCTGTTTTCCATTTCTACTTTTTAAAGTATAGTTTTGCTACTATCATATGTAGTTTGGCTGAATAGATGTATGTTTAATTTTGAAATCTTGAAAAACAGATGAGCCACGGATTTAAAGAGTACAAGAACCCTTAAAAAGGTGCAATAGAATGAAAGTTTATACAAATTATAAAAAAGGTAAAAAAGCCACCAACCTTGAATAAAAACCAGCTCAGAATCTTACCAGACCACAGCAGTTTCTCAATTCAAACCAATAAAAACATGGAAATTCTACTGCAAAAGCAAACCCTTGGATCCTAACCCTGAGATTAAAGAACTAAAATACTTCTCATTCTCTGTGTATGTTTCTCTTCTATTTGTTAATCTATCAAGATATAACAGTGTAAACTAATGCATAAACAGAATAAAAGCCAGAATGCCAAACAGTTTTCAAATGCTCTGGCCAGCACTGGTCCTTATTATAAGAATTCTGTTATTAATTACTAGGATATTTTATCATAATAGTAATAAAAATAACAGTAACTATATTACAATTGTTATTATTATTAAAAATTATTATTACTGCAACAATAATGTTATACAGCAGTTTATTCAAGGACACTTCAGTCACCTTCTCTTTCTCCACTATTTGAACTGCTGCTGACTTCTTAACTTCCACATTTCTACCTATTTAACATTTCCTGTCCAAAATTTTCCCCGGTGCAAAATGAAAACCAAGCTGACAATGACACAACATTACATCTGCTTTAAATTAACTTTGTAATAGGCTGAAGCATAAAACATCAGCTTTAGTTTCACAACTTCAAAATCTCCTGTGACTTGTGTGGTGCAAAATCAAATTCCACATAGGATTTCGTAGCTTTGAATCATTTTTAGTTATGATGTTAGTGCTGAAAAAGACATTTTGTGCATATAATTAGTTTTAGCCTATTAATTAAGAAAAGCCATTATGTGTTTACAAATGTGGTACGATATTAGAGATTCCCTGCTTATGTTTTATTGTCTTGTTGTGAAATAACGTGCTCAATTTCCAAACGTCCAGACTTACTTATCAATCATTCACTAAAACTGCAAATTATAATGGAATTTATACAAGAAGTTAATATTTTTTCTGTTTATTATGCAGAATACTACAGTTTCGTCTGTATAAAAAAAAATTCAAGGAGACTTTGAGGCCTTATGATGTAAAGGATGTGATAGAGCAATACTCAGCAGGGCATCTTGATATGCTTTCCAGAATAAAGTATCTTCAGACAAGGTAAGAATTTTCTGCTAAATGAGGAAAATGTGTAACTGTGCTGGCAAAATAAAAGCACAGTTTTCCTGTTTACATACAATGCAACCCAGGAGCTATGTCCTTGCTTAGTGTAGCTGGTCAATAAGAAAGCCTTTACCCCAAAGAATAAAGGCAAGTGAGCAGCTAGCAGAGTTAATCACTGGCTCAAGTTTCACCTCTTCTCCCCTTTGTATAGATGCTAAATAAAAGCAATAGTTGCTCTACATGAACTTTTCTTTGGGCTGGATTCTCTGCTGACATGTGTCTGGTGAAACATTTCATAGAAGTGCAAAAATACATCAGCACAGGCTTTACATCCCCTTCACTCAGGTGTAAGTTGACCTACATGAAAAAAATGGAATTCCAGGCCTTTGTGACTGCTCAGGTGCAATCTGCCACCCAGAACTGGTTCATCACTATGTGGTTTTGAGGCATGTCTATACAAATTTGTGCTGCTTGTATCCTGAGCCATGGGTGCAAGTCAGAGCTTGAAGTAGTAGTAAACTTGTCTGTCCTTACTCTCCCTCGTTTGCTGTGTTGACTAGATCTCCACTGCGTGTAATTGGACAAAACAAGGGAGGTGAGTCCTACTTACTGTGTCTATGCATAGCAAGATGCAATAGGAGTTTGATGAGACATTGACTGATGACCCAGCAATGCCTGAGTGCCTAGCAAATACCTAGGTAGCTTTGTGGAATTTGCCTTGAGTTTTTTGAAGTTCCATTTTCACAACTTCATGGGGCACCATGAAGCCAGGCAATGTACCTGCATGGATCATCTGATAATACAGATAACTGCTTGGTGGACTAATGATGACTGATATTCAGTGTGTGGGCTGAATGAACAGAAGCTTGCTTGCACCTGAGCAGTTGGATATGCTGAATGAAAGAATATATTGATATAATAAAAGAGTGTAATTAAATGTGCTGGAGCCTCCAAAACAATCCATTTGGGTTTGATCCAAATAAATAGTCAATCAGATTCCTTGTGAAACTTCAGTTTTAGTTCTGTTTTTCAAACTGAAAGAGTAATTAGTAAAGACAAACACCCACACCTACCCCCCCAAATACTGATAATTAGGCACAATAACTGCTAGAATGTCATTGGTTTATTAAAAGTATCAGGAATTTCCACCTTTTCCCAAATTCTGGTTTTCTCTAAACCTGATGTGTCTCTCCTGGCATTTTTAGGAGCAGCTGTTACTGGAATTTTTTCAGCAATTACTGTTTAGTTCCTTTGAAGGAAGTGATGTATTTCAAATGGCAAAGTTTGGAAAAAGTGAGCTAGAAAATTATTCTATTACCATAAAATTAACAGGTAATTACAATTCGGTGTATTGCTTGTGGACCCGGAACAGAACAAACACATCATGACCCTCAATATATTACCAAATCAGAGCGTGCTTCCGTTTTGAATCTTTGCTACAGTTTGTTGCAGAGATGCATAGCATTTTCTACCCTGTGTTAGCGTTTGGAGATGGACTTATGGAGTTGCACTTTTCTTTTTTCCAGAGTAGATATGATTTTTACACCTGGACCTCCATCTACTCCCAAGCATAAGAAATCCCAAAAGGGAGGAGCTTTTTCTTACCCTTCACAACAGTCTCCCAGGTGAATTTTTTTATGCCTTGTATTTTGCACACACCAAAACGGATATAAAAATTCTATTCATACCAATAAGCATGACCTTCATTTATCCAGCCACTACACTGTTACAGTAATGATACTGAGAGGATATGTTGCTACAAGCTTCCCTAGGAACAATGTGTGATGGAAATCTAAACTTAATGTCTTCTTAATTGTCTAGCTCAGCTTCTCCATTGTTTGTAAATGTGTTTTTGTATGAAATATGTACATTTTGTTGCTGATGTTCTAAGTTTCTAACATTCAACTAATAAACCCACTTAAAAATTCAATAAACATCACCAATAGTTTGAAGGTAATTCAGTTATTCTCCTTAAGTGAAGCTTCGTTGTAGCCCCCACCAAATGGCAAGCACAGAGCTTTAATGATGCTCACCAATGATTGGTGAGATTACTGAGAATAAATTGCAATGCCAGGTTTCTGGGTGTGAAAGTTACAGCATGTTATTGTATTTCTGCATTCCTGGTAGCAAGAATTCAGTAATAAATGACATTTCTTCTGTTATTTACAACTATCAATCTGTCAATAAATACCCATGAAGAACCACATAAGACCATCAACAATCTGTCCCCAAAGCTGTTGTGGTTGCTCAGAACAAAAGTAATCTTACAGAAAATAAATTAACTTGGCTTTATCTGGTTTATCCAGAATTTTTTTTTATTTTAAAATACCTAAAAGCATGTAAATATGAAGACAGAGACCTACATATATGGAAGAGGCAATGATCATTTGGGAAACAAAGCAGATTGCAAGATTTGAATGAGCCCATATCGTCAGTAACCCAGTGTGCAAAATCTGACATGTTTGAGTTACAGTTTCTTCTTTAGTAAGACATATTTTGAATTGTGTCAAAAGAGAAAAACTGGACCTGTTAAAAGAAAAGTTTTAGGGTATATTTGTTCTAAGTCATGTCAAAAAACAAGTGCTTAAAAATTCTTTTGCTAGATTTTTACATAGGTTATGGAAAGACTTGATTCCTTTGAGGCTGGTTTAGAAACATTTTGATAAAGATTTAACTTGATAACGACCATCCTAGATAACATGAAGTTATAATTACAAGTTCTTTAATACAGCAAAGGTCATCTTCTCCCCTCCTGAAGTTAGTCCATCTGATGGACACGCAGTAGGAAATTGCATAGAAGAAAATTTATTCAGGAACCTACTTTAAATCCCGAGGCCAGACTGTCTCTTTGCAGCATTTCCACTGCCACTTACTATTTGGTTTAATGAAACAGAGGAAAAAAACTCCAGTCAGGCTTGAAACTCAGATTCAATCTTTACAGACGCTAATTGTAAAGAATTAGATTTTAAAACACATAGCTGTTTTTAGACCCACTATCTAGACTATGTCAACATTTTTCACAAACCTGAAATTGTTCCACCAAATATGATATTAATTTCACTTTCATGTTGAAATTTTTGTTTGCTTCTGTTTTTTTTTTCTTAATCTTCATCTGAATTTTGAACCAAAATAATTTTAAATTAAAAATAAGGAATACTTTTCTTTCTGAGAAATGCATTGAAATCACACAGAATAGACTTTTGCTCCTGTTTTTATCATAAATAACTGAATATTTTCTTAACTGGGACTTCAAGGAGCTGTATGAATATACCACCAAGATGGTAATTCTGTTTTCTGATGTAAATTACTGTGATGCAAAGAAATATTGAACACTAATAGAGTTATTAATTCTTTATAGAAATGAACCATATGTAGCCAAAGCATCTACAGCAGATACTGAAGACCAAAGCATGATGGGCAAATTTGTTAAAGTTGAACGACAGGTATGTAATTTCATGACAATGATGGAGGTTGAGGTGCTTGTATGATGATGATTGATATGCTTCTGTATGAGCCACTGGCTTATCCAGGCAGATTTGTACTGTTGGTGATCAAGACTCACACAGATCTTGTACTAATAATCACAGAATTATGTTGTTAGTTTTTCATGGAAGACTTTAAATAACTGGAAAGCGTGCATTTTGAAACCTGGTGAATGAAAGTCACTATACATGGCAGCAAGACCCTAACCACAATGTTTAGATGGGACTTTTTCATTCCCCTACACTCCATACTCATTATGTCTGGTGTTTTCTTGTGAGGACCACCTTCTTTTGCAGGGTCTGGTGCTCAAAAGGATTGCCTCCACAGGCATTCTGGGGACCTCTGTGTATCCTACCCTATTGCTTAGCAAGTCAAGACACTCTAATTTTTAAATATATAAATAATTAAGATGAAGGCAAGTGGCATTGATTCTTGTCAATTCCTTTCATGGAATGTAAATCTTTAGGCACAAAGTACTACCAAAAGACAAAGGAAATTGCTCCTGATATTTAACATTAATGTTGTGGGGCTATTAAGAGTTAGAGAATAAGCCTGTGTGCAAAGGTAATTCCATCTGTTGTATTTTGCTAAAAGGTATTTATCATATAGTATCAAGACTTCAGACCTAACACCGTAGACTACTGTTGGTTGCTGGACCACCAAATGTCCAGCCATGCTAAGAAATTTTTTGGCACAGTTCATAGGGACAGGTCTTCTTAATCTGAGTCAGTTAGAGGATAAACTGGCATCCACTGCAGCCCAGCTTCTAAGAGAAAGTCATAGTTATCCTATAATTGCCTTCATGACCAATAAAGATGGCAGCATACTATTGCTGGGGGCAGCACACATATGGAAGAATTGACTCCTCTGTTGAACAGCTCTTGAGAATACATAACATTGTTCTTTTTCAGGTTAATGACATGGGGAAGAAACTGGATTTTCTTGTTGATATGCATATGCATCACATGGAACAGCTGCAAGTACAGGTCGCTGAGATAAGTCCATTGAAAGAAACTGCTTCTCCTGCAAAGGAGAGGAGAGACGAAAACAAATATTCTGAATTAAAAACAATAATATATAAATACACCGAGCATTGTGCTCATGAAACTCCTTACAACTTCCAACAGGTTCCAGTCAACAAAGTCAGTCCTTATGGTTTCTCAGCACATGGTCATATGACTCAACCTTTATCAATAGGTGGGCAAAACTCTGGCAAACTGCAAGCCACACCTTCCTCAACTTCATATGCAGAAAGACCAACAGTTCTGCCTATATTTACATTAATGGACTCCCAGGTTAGCTACCACTCTCAAGGAGACCTACAAAGTCCTTACTCAGATAAGGTGTCTCCAAGGCAGAGAAGGAGCTTAACAAGAGACAGTGATACTCCATTGTCCCTTCTCTCCGTCAACCATGAGGAACTCGAGCGCTCCCCAAGTGGCTTCAGTATCTCCCAAGACAGAGACGACTTCCCATTTGGCCCCAACGGGGGATCAGCATGGATGAGAGAGAAACGCTACCTAGCAGAGGGGGAAACGGACACAGACACCGACCCTTTCACACCAAGTGGCTCCATGCCTTTGTCTTCTACAGGAGATGGGATTTCAGATTCAATATGGACCCCTTCAAATAAGCCAGTTTAAAAGTGCGTGTGGGGGCAGTCACTGGTTGACTTCTCCATGTAATGTAAGCATACTTTGTATATCTCACTTACTCTACACCCAAAGCTTACTAGTTCAAAACACCAATGGCTGCATAAGATGCATGTGATATTAGTGGTAGTCATTCTGCACCATTTCATACAATTTACTAATGCAGTTTTTTTCATGCTACCAAAACTAAGAAGCTTAGTTTTGAGCATGGTTTGCATGACTTTACCCTATATAAATGGTACAGCTGATTTCTTCTATGATACATATCTATCTGATACTCTTCAATACAACAATGATGATTTGATAACAGGCAAAATATGGTGGTCCTTGCTACAGTTTGCAAGCAGAGCAGCAAAGTGAAAATATTTTCAGGAGCAATATCCCTTTGTGGAAACATAACATCTGAATCCATTTTCTGATACAAGTAAATCAATCTCTGATCAATGTATCCAAGAACATCTAATATTTAAAGCAGGGATAAAGCTGAGTCAATGTTAATGACCTTACTGAAATGGTTTGGTGAACTAAATGTTTCTCATGTGATCATTTATACAACTACCCGTGAAATACAACATCGAAGTGAGATTAAGGGTAGAATTTAAAGTTATCAAAGCCACCTCCTGGGATTGATCATGGGTATTTATTTATTGTAACATGTAAATATAAATATCTCTCTAACTACTTCAAAAATCTTCATTAGTGTTTATAAAATCCATGAATGTGTGCCATATTTGGGATCAATATACAAATAGATAAATAGCATTTTGTCACCTGTCCCTGAGCAACACAGGGATAAGTATGCTCCCTAAGGCCTCAGCCAAATATTTTTCCATGGGAACTTGAAGTTGTATTGAGAGAGAGCAGGAAAACAATCTAAACCCACTGGTAACAGGGCAGAAATGAATCAAAGATCTCACCACTACAGTGGGAATGTAGTATGTATACTGCTGGTAAAACTAGCTTGTCCAAATATCCTGTGCAGGACTCATCTGGTGTCAATCCAGATGTGCATGAAATAATGTCCATTTGATGTCAAGTTTGATGGCTACGCACTCCTTAGAGCTGATGGAAAGCTAATCAGTACAGTGGTGAGTCCAGGGTACAAGAACCAAGGCACACATCAGCTTTAGGATGAGATTAATCTCACCTTTAACTCAATTATCTACAATGACCAAATTTCACCCAATTTCAAAGGGAGCAGAGGGTGACTTACTCAAATGTTGGATGATCAAAGACACCCACAATCAGTCCTGTTGAAGATGACCCATGTCACTCCACAAAATGCCTACAACATCATGGCTAGAACACTGACCAGCAAAGACACAAGGGTTTGGCCCATGTAAGATGTTAGAAAGTGGACTTGAGGTAGTGACTGCTTGTATTATCCTGCAGCTGCATAACTGAACATCCTTGGGGCACATCCAATCAGAGCATAAGAAAGAGGTACAGTTCACTGGACTTCCCAATATTTATTGGGTATTGCACAGGCCTGGATAGAATGCGCTTCAGTGAAAGATACCTTGTTGGGTTTTGCCCACTTTAGTAAATGTAATCTTTGAGTCCTCACTATTGACGTCTTGTAACAGTCATTCCACCCAGGGAACTTGATTGTCTTCCAGACGTAGGCATTGCCTTCATCTTCATTGTTTATTCTCTATTTGAAGAGACAGTTTAGTAAGTTTAGGATCTTACTTCATCTGCTTCTTCAGCTAAATCATGATACATCCTTCTGGGACAGATCTTCAGGGAGAACAAATTGCTGTGCTTATTTGAGTAAATAATGCAGACCAGTTACAGCCCTTGAAGTCCAGGCTGAGTCCATGGAGCTGTTCTGAGGCAGCAACTATAATGACATGAGGCACAATTTTGGTAATTACTTAATTGACAAAATAGCCATTGACCTGAAAGATAGTCTGTGCTTGGTGCAGTTTCATGGCTAAAATTGCAGAGAATAGAACCTGCTGACAAAAATGTAATTCATAATAATTTGGCATATTGAGAGAATTCCTGGACCATCAGTGATTCTTGGAAATACCTGCATTGAACCTGCTGCGGGCTCGCTAATACAGTAATACATGTCTATGGCCACTTGTAAGATTTAACCCTCACTTGTCAAATGAATGACAAAAAAACCCAAAACTGATTTTAACATTGCTAGACTTCTGAAACTGATAGAATATGTGCTAGACAAGCCTGCTTCACTTTTCTTATATGTCAAATGCCTGGCATTCCTCCTGATTTCATTTGAGTTTGGCCCTTCTTAAAATGCTTTCTAGATCTGAGCAATCAAAAGTCAAAGCAGTCAAAGCCCAAGTGTAATCTGAGAGATCTGTGAATATCTTTGACAATGGCTACGCCATGCAGTTCCCTGCCCAATTCCCCCTCAAATTCTCCAGTTCAGGTTTCTAATCTCTCCAATGTCAGGTCATATAAAGGGAATCTTTTCTCAGCATTCAACCTGGCTGAAAATCCATAAATCACTTCATTATGAAGGTATGTTCATTCCAAGAGAAAATCCAAGCAAAGGCAGAGACTTGGATGAGTTCCCACCTGCACACAGTGTGCAGCCCCAGAGAAAGTAGATTTTGGGCTGCCCTGCACTGTGGACACTTAGCAGCTGAACTGCCTTCAAGTTATCGTATTCTATGGGCTGTAAGCACCAATTTACTGTGTGCAGCTTAAAAGCACCAGGTCAGGTATTTGTAGCCACATCATGAAATATTTGGTCATGTGCTAACTGGCAAGATAAGGCTTGCCTATTCTTAAAAGGCACTGGTGGTAAGCACAGCAAGACCCTTTGCAGTGGACATCTCTGAGTCCTCTGGAAGACACCCAAGAAGAGAGTCAAGGAAGTTCTGTTTAGCTTATTTTAATACTAATTCTTTCTAACACACTTCTTTGCACCAAAACCAGTCACTGCTCTGTTCAGTAGGGAGATGTGCTTAATAGCTGTCTGCCACATCATCTGGATTAAAATTAGGGTGTGCATCAGTCTGTCCTCTATGCTGACAACAATACATGTCAAGATGTCACCAGCAAGGTGAGATCTGTAAACCTGATCTGAGATGTGCATGAAACTTCATCAGACTCCAGTTCAGGCTGAGCCCAGGCAGTACATCAACCTTGGAACTGCAGCTATGTGTCTGCCATAGATATTGGACAAAATAAAGCATCCCTGATTATTGACCCTGACAACATTTAAAATATCAGGACCTGTTATGCAGAATAGGTTTAGCACAAAAAGGAATCGTTATTCACAATTTCATTTGAAAGAGGCAGCTGGATCAATGGTCCTCTTCATACTGGGAATGGATTAGAGTTATCCATTCTTCCATTTGAGTGTGACATTTAACAGCTATCATTTTCAGCTAGGTTGGATCTTCCTAATGTCTAAACTGACACTGACATTTTGTTTACATGTGGTTAATGTTAAGGGAATTAACCATTGGAATCCACGCTTTGCTGGCACTTAAGTCCTACAAATGACCAAGGATTGGCCTCGAGATGTTTTCCATAATAGAAAGTGTGGGTGTTTGCTCTTCTTGAAGTCAGTAAGAAACCTTCTCAAACTGCTGCACTGGGAGCAGGACTGGGTCTTAATCTGCCTTTACTTCCAAATTTCCTTGTGAAAGACGGCACCGATCTGGAGATGCTTTTCTTAGCTACATTTTTATGCTGATTTTTCAGCCACTAACAAATGACACACGTCTGGAAGAAGGTGAGTCTGTGTTTACATTGTGTGCTTCTCTTTTCAGTGTTCTTATCAATCAAGTTCCCTATCTCTAGATTCAAACTGAGGATATTTCATTAAGGCAGAAGTGAAGGTTCAGTTAAAGAATGCATGTACAGAAAATGTGGTTTGTGCTCCATTTAAGGACTTGGTCCTTTAAAAGAACTTAGTGAGGTAATGGCTGTTCTCCTTGCCTTGGCTTTTCCCTGCACTGAATTAATCAGTCTGGCTCCTATCAAAATGAAAGGACATGGAGAGATTGATTGAACAGTTCCTAAGTTAACTCTGGCTATTTTGGCTCTGGTTTTATCTGTAACTTTGCTGCATTGTTACGGTTCAGAGTAGAAACATTTCAAGTTTTCTGCTTCAAGTTGTGGCCCAGCGGAGCCGCAAACAAATTCCCACCTGAACCCGTGTGTAGCAGGGCTGCTGCCTTGTGGCCTTCAGGCGAGCACCGTGGTCCAACCAGTTTGCAAGATCACAGCCTAAAGCAATCAGAAAAGGCACAGTAAGGAGCAAACCCAGCCCTGCTGGGAGCCCAGTTGTTTCAGGGGTGTCATGTCAGAACTGAATGTCATGTAAGAACTGAATCTATCCTGCTTCATGCAGAGCATGTGGGGAAGTTCTTCTTGGTTCCTTGCAGCCCACAGCCCCCACTACTAAGCTTTAGATGCATAAGAGCTGCAAACCTAAATTTTCTACAGCACCTCATGAATTTGGTGGGATGTAACTTTTTCAGGAGCCCCACTGAATGTGGATGTTCACCTCTGAAGACCATTTTCAGAAGTGCAGGGGAAAAAGGGGTCATTTTCAACTGTTTTTAGCTGGGCACTGTAAGAATGAAGATCCTGGGTATCGCTATTGCTTATGATTATTTAGGCTGTGAGATCTGATCCTTCCCAATACAGCTTTTAGTAGCTTCCCTCTGAAGTTAAGTGAAGCAAAATAGTGGAAGTGGGATCCTATTTCCATCCTCAAGAATACGCTGAGACTGAAGGTTACATAGCCAACTGCATTTTGTTTTCTAGTTATGGCATCTTATTATTACTAGTATTTGTGCCTTGCTCACTGAAATTTTCTCCATGCTACAAAGATGCTTTTCAGATTCTGGCTGACAAGGGAACACAACTTTTATACAAGTGGCCTTTAGTGCTCTTTATAATATTATTTATTGTAATTTTTAAACTGTATGTGTAATTTATATTCTGGCACTGTCCAATATTTGAACAACTTTAATATGTTTATTTCAATATATTATGCAAACAATACTTCTTAACTGATTTTTTATGTTCTGTCTTTAAAAACTGCACCACTTATTAATAAATAGAAATTTCAATTATGATT